TTTCTTGAAACTAGTGGTTTCGTCAACCATCAACGCTTGATGTTTTTCTTGATTTCTACCTTCGTCGATTTCAGCATCACGAAAAGCTTGGGAATCGTTTCTGTTATCCCTTGCATATTATAGTTCATCACGAAGTTCTACTAACTTGGTGATGGTGACTAGAGAATTCTGTCAATCACTATCTTATCTGGAAGATTAACTCCCACTTGATTCAAGCGATTGTAGTACCCAGACAATCTGAGCACATACTCACTAGTTGAGCGATTCTCCTCCATCTTTTAGCTATAGAACTTATTGGAGACTTCATATCTCTCAACTCGGGTATTTGCTTGAAATATTAACTTCAACTCCTGGAACATCTCATATGGTTCATGACATTCAAAACGTCTTTGAAGTCCCGATTCTAAGCCGTTAAGCATGGTGCACTAAACTATCAAGTAGTCATCATATTTAGCTAACCAAACGTTCATAACGTCTGCATCTGCTCCTGCAATAGGTCTGTCACCTAGCGGTGCATCACGGACATAATTCTTCTGTGCAGCAATGAGGATAAACCTCAGATCACGGATCTAATCCGCATCATTGCTACTAACATCTTTCAACACAATTTTCTCTAGGAACATATCAAAATAAACACAGGGAAGCAACAATGCGAGCTATTGATCTACAACATGATCTGCAAAATACTACCAGGACTAAGTTCATGATAAATTTAAGTTCAATTAATCATATTACTTAAGAACTCCCACTTAGATAGACATCCCTCTAATCCTCTAAGTGATCACGTGATCCAAATCAACTAAACCATGTCCGATCATCACGTGAGATGGAGCAGTTTCATTGGTGAACATCACTATGTTGATCATATCTACTATATGATTCACGCTCGACCTTTCGGTCTCCGTGTTCCGAGGCCATATCTGTATATGCTTGGCTCGTCAAGTATAACCTGAGTATTCCGCGTGTGCAACTGTTTTGCACCCGTTGTATTTGAACGTAGAGCCTATCACACCCGATCATCACGTGGTGTCTCAGCACGAAGAACTTTCGCAATGGTGCATACTCAGGGAGAACACTTCTTGATAATTTAGTGAGAGATCATCTTATAATGCTACCGTCAATCAAAGCAAGATAAGATGCATAAAAGATAAACATCACATGCAATCAATATAAGTGATATGATATGGCCATCATCATCTTGTGCATGTGATCTCCATCTCCGAAGCACCGTCATGATCACCATCGTCACCGGCGCGACACCTTGATCTCCATCGTAGCATCGTTGTCGTCTCACCAATCTTATGCTTCCACGACTATCGCTACCGCTTAGTGATAAAGTAAAGCATTACAGCGCGATTGCATTGCATACAATAAAGCGACAACCATATGGCTCCTGCCAGTTGCCGATAACTCGGTTACAAAACATGATCATCTCATACAATAAAATTTAGCATCATGTCTTGACCATATCACATCACAACATGCCCTGCAAAAACAAGTTAGACGTCCTCTACTTTGTTGTTGCAAGTTTTACGTGGCTGCTACGGGCTTAAGCAAGAACCAATCTTACCTACGCATCAAAACCACAACGATAGTTTGTCAAGTTGGTGCTGTTTTAACCTTCGCAAGGACCGGGCGTAGCCACACTCGGTTCAACTAAAATTGGAGAAACTGTCACCCGCAAGCCACCTATGTGCAAAGCACGTCGGGAGAACCGGTCTCGCGTAAGCGTACGCGTAATGTCGGTCCAGGCCGCTTCGTCCAACAATACCGCCGAACCAAAGTATGACATGCTGGTAAGCAGTATGACTTATATCGCCCACAACTCACTTGTGTTCTACTCTTGCATATATCATCAACACATAAAACCCAGGCTCGGATGCCACTGTTGGGGAACGTAGTAATTTCAAATTATTTCCTACGCACACGCAAGATCATGGTGATGCATAGCAACGAGAGGGGAGAATGTGATCTACGTACCCTTGTAGATCGACAACGGAAGCGTTAACTTGGTTGATGTAGTCGTACGTCTTCACGGCCCGACCGATCAAGCACCGAAACTACGGCACCTCCGAGTTCTAGCACACGTTCAGCTCGATGACGATCCCCGGACTCCGATCCAGCAAAGTGTCGGGGAAGAGTTCCGTCAGCACGACGGCGTGGTGACGATCTTGATGTACTAATGTCGCAGGGCTTCGCCTAAGCACCGCTACAATATTATCGAGGACTATGGTGGAAGGGGGCACCGCACACGGCTAAGAATATGATCATGTGGATCAACTTGTGTCTCTAGGGGGTGCCCCTGCCTCCGTATATAAAGGCTCAAAGGGGGGGGGGGCCGACCAAGAGGAGGCGCGCCAGGAGGAGTCCTACTCCCTCCGGGAGTAGGACTTCCCCCCCCCCCTTTCCTAGTTGGAATAGGATTCGCGGAGGAGAGAGAGGAGGAAGGGGGGACGGCCCCTCTCCTTGTCCTATTCGGACCAAGGGAGGGGAGGGGCGCGCGTCCCATCTCTGGCTACCTCTCCTCTCTTCCACTAAGGCCCATATATCTCCCGGGGGGTTCCGGTAACCTCCCGGTACTCCGGTAAAATCCCGATTTCACCCGGAACACTTCCGATATCCAAACATAGGCTTCCAATATATCAATCTTTATGTCTCGACCATTTCGAGACTCCTCGTCATGTCCGTGATCACATCCGGGACTCTGAACAACCTTCGGTACATCAAAAGTATAAACTCATAATATAACTGTCATCGAAACCTTAAGCGTGCGGACCCTACGGGTTCGAAAACAATGTAGACATGACCGAGACACGTCTCCGGTCAATAACCAATAGCGGGACCTGGATGCCCATATTGGTTCCTACATATTCTACGAAGATCTTTTATCGGTCAGACCGCATAACAACATACGTTGTTCCCTTTGTCATCGGTATGTTACTTGCCCGAGATTCGATCGTCGGTATCCAATACCTAGTTCAATCTCGTTACCGGCAAGTCTCTTTACTCGTTCTGTAATACATCATCCCGCAACTAACTCATTAGTTGCAATGCTTGCAAGGCTTAAGTGATGTGCATTACCAAGAGGGCCCAGAGATACCTCTCCGACAATCGGAGTGACAAATCCTAATCTCGAAATACGCCAACCCAACATGTACCTTTGGAGACACCTGTAGAGCTCCTTTATAATCACCCAGTTACGTTGTGACGTTTGGTAGCACACAAAGTGTTCCTCCGGCAAACGGGAGTTGCATAATCTCATAGTCATAGGAACATGTATAAGTCATGAAGAAAGCAACCGCAACATACTAAACGATCGGGTGCTAAGCTAATGGAATGGATCATGTCAATCAGATCATTCAACTAATGATGTGATCCCGTTAATCAAATGACAACCCATGTCAATGGCTAGGAAACTTAACCATCTTTGATCAACGAGCTAGTCAAGTAGAGGCATACTAGTGACACTGTGTTTGTCTATGTATTCACACATGTATTATGTTTCCGGTTAATATAATTCTAGCATGAATAATAAACATTTATCATGATATAAGGAAATAAATAATAACTTTATTATTGCCTCTAGGGCATATTTCCTTCAGTAAGGGCCCCGACGCCGCCAACGCGTGCACGGGCTTTGCCTGGCGGCGGCGAGTGAGGGGAGAGGCGAGGTGTGGGGTGCCGGCGGCGGAGAGCTAGGTTGCACCCGGAGCGCTTGCGGGAGCGGCACGGGACTCTCCCTCGCTCCTTTGTGATAATTGTGTTATACCTTACTCCATGAGAACGGATTTTCTACCATGCACGGGATATCCTGTGCATTCATCTTTCTGACACATACACTGTTGTTGTGTATTATACACAGTACACCCCATTCCACTTCTCTCTTTTCACTCAACCACTCCATTCTTTTTCATTTGATTTTCATGTTCATATCTCTTTTGGGTCAAAAGTACAATTTTGATATCTTTGCATATTTGGGTTCTTGGCGACGAGAGCTATTTAATGAGACCATTGTTGAATATATTTCAAGAAAAATGATTTTTGAATTTTAAAACATGATGAGACTTAATGAAACCACACAAAATTATAGACATTTGTCTAGCATAATGTATCAAAATGTTACACAAGAATTTATTACGTCCCAATGTGAGGGATCTTGGTTGCACTTGGTAAATTTGTTTCAAAAATAATATCACGAGTTTGTATTTAACATGTGTTCTTATGAAGTTATAGTAGGGTTTTTCATGTTCTAGAGTGCATCACTTTGTCACATAAAGTTTTACACAAATATTCGAAACATTTATGAACTAGACTCTCAGTTCAAAATATAAAATGGATCCAAACTTGAAAATAAGATGGAAAAAATATGAGTGGGTAGAACATGGCATAGACCGCACAAAGCTAGCTACGGGAAAAGCTGCCAGCATTGATGGAGGAAGTGGGGACGCATATGCATGTAACCAAATCTCCAACTAGATCAAGGGCCGCACCATGCATGGGATATCCCATGCATGGTAGATATGCTTTTCTCGTTACTCCATGTTAAGTTTCTTGATCGCGGCGACAAGTACAGAGGAGGAGCTCTGTTCCTACTTTTCTTTTTGAAAGAGAGCTATATTCCCTACTTGGCAAAAAGAGAAAGAAGCAAAAAAAAAAATGGCACAACTAACAATGTGTTGTGTGCAGAGAAAATCCTGATATATATGAAATGTTCTACTAGTTAAACTAGCTTGAGCTCCGTGACTTCTTTATATTTTCAGCAGTTTGTGTGTGTGTTTGTGTGTGTGTTTTGTTGCTGAGGCAGCGTGGGTGCTGGCCCTCCGCGCTATCTTTGCGACTGAGATGTACTGGGCTTCGTTGTTTCGATGCAATGGAGCTGGGGCGTGTGCCCTTTTCCTCTAAAAAAATATGTACTGTTCTTTTGGTAATCTTAGCTATATAATTACAAATTTTCACAGTTGCTAGAACGACAGAGAGAAAGGGACCTCCATCATCGTTTCTTATCCTTCAAAGAAGCTCTGCACCGTCTTTTCTAAACTCTCAGTGGTATATATGTCTCCCGCTGAAGCTATCTGCAGACATGAAGAAAACAGTCCTGAACTCGAATAGTTCTCGAAACACCTCGTGTAGTCTGGCAGAATGCAATCCTGTATACGATCTCTCAGTACCTGCCGTAGCACCACATCAGGAACCTTCCAAGTTTTCTGACGATCAAAAGTCTTGTTGAACTTTGAAGCAAATGCAACCAAGGATCGGCGTTGACTGCCCCTCCGACAGTTGCGATTCAAGCAAGACTTGGCTGGAGTGCAAGCCTCTTCTGTGTAACTCTCAATCCACTTCTTGAAGAGTAACTTGAATTCGTCATCATGCTGCTTAATAATCTGCCTATCAGATAGCAGCTCATCCAACAGACCATCTGTCTTTGTATTGAAATGCCCTGTGTTGTTCAATAAGAAAATGCATTGCCGCTGCAGATCCGCATGGTATATGTTTGAACGTTCAGTGAGCACAGATTTCCAGCAAGTAATCACGTCATACAGAAGATGGCCAAATGAGCTGGAGTTGTCACCTGGGGCAAGAGTGGATTGCACTAAATTTCTGTGACTGCCAAGGGATTTCATTGAGCGTATGAGGAAACATGTCATCGGATGAATGGCATCGTTATCCTGATGATTTTCCATATTGGACTGCATGTGGTGCTTGATATGGTCAATTAACCTCCTGAAAGCTTCCCTCATGTTGCGTAAAATATTGGGAAAGAAGTCATCAGATTCACTGGAAGCAAACTTTTGAATAAGAGGAAGGACATCCAAAAGTGCCTCATAGGCAAGCAGCATGGGAGAAATATGAGTGGCAGACCACACTGTCTTGCTAAGACAAACGGCAATGTCCAAGAGTTTCTTGATGTGGCACTTTGCAAACTGGTTGAAGTAGCCTAATTTTAATTCCTCAAATGGCCGACTCTGCTCACATAACTGCTGTTGCATCAAACAGAGGACTTGGGTGTTGGTTTTCAACATGATGATCAATTCTTTTGTGCACTCAGAAGGATCCTTGAAGGTCCTTGTGCTTATACGAAGAATCTCTAGGACATCTGATTCATGGAAAAATCTGTTACAAAAAAAGAAGTGACCTTGGAACTGTGAGTAAAAATATTTTAGGCAATTTATGGAACATTTGAGGAAACAGTAAAAATATTTAACTATCCGACTAGAGTTTCTTACTTTGAATGGCAGAATAAATTGGCTCTATTATTAATTAACTGGCGAACACTGGCTGCAAACCAGCATCCCATCTCTTAGTTTTTCACCAATCCGACAGCTACTGTGTAGTTCGTTATGTTTACATGACAAAGGAATTGTAAGTTTTTAAAGAAAAATCTGACTGCTACTCTGTGCAATTCGTTATAATTTGAGGACGATAATAAAGTTTCATTATCAGTCCCACTACTACACTATGCAATTAGTTATGCTTAGATGGCAGCGTAATATAAGTTCACACATTTGAAGGACGTGAAGACAATGAACATGCTCTCCTTTGCTTCAGAAAAAAATGTTTTAAAGAATGAGCATGTTCTTGCCTTCACTCTTTGTTTCTGAAAGCTCCCAGATTAAGGAGAAGGGATCACATGGATATGGTCATGTGCCCACAGGTTATGGATTCGAGGTCCATGGTGAAGAGTATTTCCGGAAAAGTTTCACGGTGTGCTAAAGTTTAGATGCGGAGAGGTCTGCAACTCTGCATCCACCAGCATCTACACATCAGGGTGGAGTTGAGGAAAAGGAGCATTACCAAGGATGGGATGGTAGCAGCAACTGCAGATAAAACAATCAACGGCTGCTTTGATGTGTAAGGAGGACACATGGCAGAACATGCATGTGGTTTAGAAAAAAAAAACACTTCTTCGGGGATCATATCCGGAAGAAAACGAATGCGGTTTAGGTAACAAAAACATCGGCATTATGGCTTTAGTTGCCAAATTGTGAATCTAGAACAAATAAAAGAAAATTATGAGTTTCATCTTATTGCTGGTATTTTCTTAAAGTAATAAGAACATAAATGTAATGGGTTTATGTGATGCAGCATACAGTCATAAGGTGATGTCTCAATATGTCACACTGAAACAAGGTAAGAGCCTTTGAAATACCACCTGGTTGGCTGGCCACAAGTCTGTTTGCCTAAAGACCAAGGTGGTTTAGGGATTCTTAATTTGGAAGTTATGAACATTGCCCTGTTATCCAAATGCTTATGGAAATTGTTTAATGATGAGGGTCCTGGGCAATACATTCTGACCAAAAAGTACCTACTCACCAGACCTTATGCCAAGTGACTTCAACACCTGGAGATTACCATTTTTGGCAAGGTCTGCTGGAGATACTGTTTTCAGGGTGCTGTGGGATTAATGTGGGGAATGGGGAAAAAACTAGATTTTGGGAATACCATTGGGCAGGAGATTGCACTCTGGCCACTTCCTTTCCTAGGCTGTATAGCATTTCCCTGGACCTCAAGTCGTCAGCATCACTGTGAGGAAAATGTTTACTAGAGGGTTTCAATCCTTCAAATTTACAAGGGCTCTGGTGGGTGGGAAAATGACACAATGGTTGGGCTTAAAAAAGATTGTGCTGATATTTCCCTTGCTGATAAAAATGACAAGCTTGCTTGGCCCTTCTGTGCTTCAAGACAGTTTTGTGTGAAATCTTTTTACTCTGTTATGCTAAATTTTGAGGTGGTGCCTTACAAATTCTTCTGGAAGATTAAAATCCCTCTGAGAGTCAAAACCTTTGTTTGGCTAGCTCTGAGGGAGCATTCTTACCAAAGATGTGTACCTGAAGAGAGGGGGCAAATGCAAGCCTCACTGTTACTTTTGTGGGGAAGTGGAAACAATTACTCATCTTTTTTTTACTGTCCTATTGCCAGATATATCTGGAACATTGTTAGTTGTGCATTGGGGTCAATTGTCAGTTTAGCAGTGTTTCAGACAGTACATAAATAAAATAACTGGCTCGGGGGTATGGGAACTTAACAGAGGTTTGATGGCTGTTGGTGTTGCAGGTGTGTTTTAGGTGCTTTGGAAAACCTGAAATCTTGCTTGTTTTCAAAATCTGTTATTGATCAAGCCATGTTTAGTTATTTACCGAATTTGTCACTGGATTGATTGTTGGAGCTCCTTGCAGTGGACGGAAGATGCAAAACTAGAAGTATTTTGTATAGCACCCCATGTGTTACTTTGATCTCATAAGGTTGAGAATCGAGAAAATATGAAGCTCATGGCGACCAAGTATTGTTTCTGGACAGAACAGTTTCAAAGTAATCACAGTGACAATGAAACATTGCTATATAAACAAGTTTAATGTACACTATTCCGTAGAGCTGATATGACTTGAAACGGGGCCTTTCCAATTCAAAGAAAACTGATGTGTATGTTGCCCTGATATTTATGTGTAGGTCTGGCATGCAAGAGGATGAATCCTAAAATCAATTACAAGCTGATGGTATCATAACCCGTGTATTATCTTTCTTCAATTCCATTCCACTAGGATAATATAGAATGAGTACGTACCAAGAAACCATGTTTTAGTCAACATACAAACATGAGATATTGGCTATTCCTACTATGTCCGTTGTTCACTAATAATGCTATATTTCAAAAAACTATACTGCATTGTTTTGTTTGACTGTCATAACATCTGGATATTATTTGTACCCCCAGTTATAGTTATACTGTCAAATACATTAACTGATGTGCTTTCTGCTTTCTGCAGAACTTTGACTAAATGGGAAACAGGGAAAGTGAACAAATGCAAGAACTATCCTTCCGTATGTAAAATGACCTGGCAGTTCTCCTGAGAAGGTTATTGTCCTGTTATACTGTAGACTATTAGGTGAGCTCTAATTAATAACACAATAGCATCACACGTTGTCACATTTCATCTTAGATTGCCTGTCTATGTACATTATTAAATCACTACATGCAGTCATGCACTTTTTAGTTACTAACTTGGATCACTTTCCAGATGCATCTTGGATGAGAGGAATAAGAAACATAAAATTTGGTAGCTTTTTTCTGAGAAAGACAATCTGGTAGCTCATGTGTGGACATACACTTCCAACTATATGATGAATTGCTGCGGGATCATATAGGGTAGAATTTAAGATTGGTGCCAACAAATAGAGGCTGGTGTCTTGAGCAAAGACATGGATGTTCTGCGAGTACATGTCATGACCAGGCAAAAATGTTGGCCACAGTGAGTGGGGGCTGGAATGGAGTAGCTCAAAAAGTAAGGGTAATTGCCAAAGTGCTAAACTTCTGAGTGCCTCTTCAGTATATTTCGTTATAGAAGAAAACTAAACTAATTTACATGAGACCAGAATATTAAGTTATAGAGGAAAACTAAACTAATTTACATAATAAACTATCATTTTTGTTATATATATCTTTCAGACTATATAAGTTATAGAATATTTTGATTCATCTTCAGGATGCCTAAGCAATTTTAGCAGTTTGGTTGTCGCATCTTCTGTACAGTGAAATATAGGCATCTTTTGATACACGGGTCACAAAACAAACTGTAATGTGAAATAATTAAACTTTGAAGAGCTTATATCCAGTTCTCTATATTCATCATTCTAGTTTGGTCATTACCTTCCCGCCGAGTTGAGATGATATGTTTGGGAGTTTCAAAGTAGGAAAAAACATACGTGCTCACTAAAAGGTCAGTGATGTGTGGCCATAACAAGAATGGAGGATTTGGTGTTTCTAATTATGGGACAAAAACGTAAGTACTCAACTGACTTAGGGATATTTGATTGATCTACTAGACCCCAGAGAAGCACAGCTGTTAAAATACTTGGAGTAGCACTTGTTTGTAATAAAACAAAACTGTGGATTTACCTGCTCAATGTATGTGAGTTGGCCGAGAATGCTTGGAGTAGCACTTGTTTGTAACCAGATCCAAAAGCCACTTGACAATTGCGGATGATGCCCTCTAGCTGGTCCAAAGAGCCCGGCAAGATGAGTCGGGCACGGCCAGGGTCCATGTGGGCATGTGACGGATAGTGAAGCTGCCGCACGTTGCTGCTGGTTGGAGTTGTAGTGTCGCCGCCGCCGTCACTAGATGCATAGCCGTCATGGCTGCTGCTTTGGGAGTGGCACCTGCTGACGGAGAAACAGCAGACGATGGTGTCTGCCTGGATCGAGTAGGGGGTCTGCTCAATGGAACTTTGGAGGTTCTCGGTGGCAGCAAACACCTGACCCTTGTCCCATAGGTTGAGTCTGCAAATTTCCTCTGCAAGACGTTGCATTGCAACAGCCAGCCTGGTTCACTGAGCTTCCGGATAACCAAGCACCGCAAGAGAAGGAAGCGGGTGCAGACTGTAATCTTTGAAGCGTGGTGACAGGGCAGCACCAAGAAGGGCCATACAAATACAAGGGCTAGTGGCCAGCAGGGGCAATCGACGCGCGGGTGTCAGGATGCTGCTCCGCCGTCGCCGATGGGCAGCCGGCCGGCCGTACATGCGCCCCAGCGATAGATCCTCTCCGCAGCCGAGCGAGCGCTGAGACAGAAAATTCGGAGAAAATATTCCTTAAAAAGATGAGATGGGCCAACTGAGGCAGCAACAACGACTAGCCGAGGAACGGAAGATCCGACCGAGAGGGCGAGAGCTTCAAGCTTGGAACCCCCAAAGCTAACCCATAACGAAACGGAAAGATCCCCCCAAAATGGGAGCGACAGAAGGGGGAAGCGGGGAGTGAGGGCGGAATCGGTACCTCCAAGTCGGTCCTCCCGGCCGGTGTATTTGCGGCGCTGCGCCTCCAGGACGGAATCGCTCGCGACGGCGCCCGAAGAGAGAGGCGGAGCACCCTCGGCGAGACGGAGTGAGGCGTGTGGGGGGCTGCTTTGCGCACAGGGAGGGAGGGAGGGACGACACAGGACGACAAGTAGGACACGCCTGGGGCCCAGGAGTCAGTGGCTCGAGAGTTTGAGCGACTTTACGGCCTCTTTTTGACAAGAGGGTTTCGGGCCGTGTGGACCCCTTGGCCGTGACGATACCTGAAAAGGGCCACGTAGATAGAAGGAATTCCTTTTGTTGGCAGGATGTAGAGAGAAGGAATTGACATGTACTATGATGCACTTCTGAACCCATGACTTGGTACCAGCTTGTAAAACAGCTAGCCAAACCCGGAGCTAAAAGCGTAATGTACCTTCTGAACCAGATGCCGGAATCGCGATCCGTCCAAACGATCATGTGCGCGACGACGACGATACCTTTCGAACGAGACCAATATCGGGTGTGTTTTGATTTTGGTTTTTACTTATACTATTCATCAGCGGTCATTGCCGTCTGGGCAGTTGCTGCACACTAGTTCAGCGTTCACCAATTCTTTGGTCTTTTTTCTTTCCTTCTCCTTTTCTGATTTATGTATTTACATCAAACATTTGGGCTAAGTGTTAGGGGTTTAAGGTCTACTATATCCGGCGACTTGACTCTCTTACCCTATGCTCATTCGGTTTTCTTTTGTCTTGCAGTGGTTTGTCTTTGCCGATCTGTTATTATCTTGGGGCTGGCTACTTGTTTTAGTCTCACACTTTTAATTGTGTGTTTCGTTCTTGATGTACTCACTCCGAACTGAATCAATTGACGCAGTCTCTATACTTTCATCTGAATTAATTAATCAAAAGTGTGCTAATATATTCATCATAATTGTTGCCCCCATCATCAGAATCTGACCCGGTAGGGGAACAGCCCACCTGCAGATGTAAACCTAACGGCCACTTTTAGGGGTGCGAGGAAAATTGTTGGAAATCCTCCCGATCCGGTGCGCAAATTTTACGGACAGGATTCGTGCCAAAACTTCCCTTTCTACAGGATCCAATCATTAAGAGTATCTACACCTAGACCTAATTGATCTGGTCCCCTAAACATCCGTGGACGTGTCAGGACGCGTCAGCAGACATTGACCAATCACCTCTTAAATGTCTGCTTCCACAACCGGGTACTTCATTAGACAATTCTCAAATGTGCCACAATGTTCTCTTGTGGTGTCTTTCCTTACAAATGAAACCCTTGACATGCCCCCTCTTGTTGATCAAGACGGTTAAGATCAATTGGTAGGCCAATGTGATGGTACACGAAATTGCTAAGTTTAGTTTGATAATAGGTCGGTTGGTGTTTTGTGTAATAGTGTTTAGTCCTGTGTGGCAAATGTTGTAATGAATGATTTTTAATTAATTAATTAATATATGGGAAGGGTTTTTAAAAAAAGAGACGCTCAAGTCTGAAAGGGCACACATATCTTCACGTTCTACCCCCATGATCTTTTGCAATTATGTACTGGCAATTTTTAAAGCAGTCAAACCCGAATTGAGAGTGTGATGTATCTTCTGAACCAAATTCTGGAATGGTGATCCGTTTGAATCTCGTGTTTGGGGCGACAAAAACATTCAAACAAGACCAATTTGGATATCTTTGGATTTCAGTCGGATCATCCTTTTGTTTTTGTATATATATTGTTCACCAATCATTAGCTGTCATTTTTCACAAAGAAAAATACATTCATCAATTCTTTGGACGCGTTTGGGAAGGGAGGTGTTCTTTTTTTTTCTAATTTAAGTTTACGGGTTTTGCTTGTAGGTTTGATATCTACATCAACCATTTGAGCAAGTCTTGATTTGGGTTTAACCGGTTAAGGTCTTTATACACGTGAAAGTGCAACTAATCTCCGGGTAATTTTGGTAATTAATAACAACATATACATCATTGAACTAATGCCTATTCAAAGATAGATTTCGGGAATGTTCAATGTTGGCATGGCAAGGACTCGTGGATGTGGATCCCTCAAAATGCTATGGCAAAAAGCTCCAAGACTCTTTATTTTTGGTTAAGTGGTCCAAGATCACATTGATTCCATAGGAAAGCCAATACTATTAAAAAGGGATGAGGTTTTGATCATGACTTAGTTGCTCAAGTGCTTAAAGATATTGCTCCAAAACCCTCAATCTCTTTCCCACATTCCAATCTGTCAAAACCCTAATTGCCAAACTTGGTCCCAACAAAACTTCCACATCTGGACCCACCGAGTTGATTCTAGACAGAGCCACAACCAAACCCTAGAAACTCGGTTCTACCGAGATGACATTCGGCCCCACCGAAATGTCGTGATCAAGTTTCTGTACCACTTTCACTCCATTTTGGAATTTCCGAGTTGGTTTGATCGGAACTACCAAAATGAGGTCTCACTTAGGTCATCACATATCGGTCCCTCCGAGTTGATCCTTTAGGTCTCATCGAGACGCCTAACGTTCAAATCTTTTACACAAGTCGGTCTCATCGAGATTTTGTTTCGGTGTCACTGAGTTGAGTCAAACGATTGTAATGGTTGTATTCTTGGTGAAGGCTATATATACTCTTCCACCACTACTCACTCTCTAAGAGAGCCATCAGAATGAAACTACACTTCCACCATTAATTTTCCGAGAGAGAACCACCTACTCATGTGTTAAGATCAAGTGATTCCAATCCAACCATTTGAACCTTGATTTCTAGCCTCCTCAAGTTATTTTCCACTCAAATCCCTCTCCCGCCCAAGCCAAATCTGTAAGAGAGTAATTGAGTGTTGAGGTGACTATCTTTTGAAGCACAAGAGCAAGGAGTTCATCATCAATGTACCATCTATTATCTGTTGGAGAGTGATGTCTCCTAGATTGGTTAGGTGTCACTTGAGAGCCTACAAGATCATATGGAGTTGAACCAAGGAGTTTGTAAGGGAAAGGAAATTGCCTACTTCGTTAAGATCTCCCCCGAGTGAGGCTAGTCTTCCGTGGACGTAAGCCATGGTGGAATAGACAAGGTTGCTTCTTGATGGACCCTTCGTGGGTGGAGCCCTTTATGGACTCGTGCAGCCGTTACCCTCTGTGGGTTGAAGTCTCCATCAACGTGGATGTACGATAGCTTCACATATCGGAACCACGCCAAAAATCATCGTGTCTTCATTGTGTTTGATTTCTCCGACCCACCCTCTTTACGTTCATATGCAAAGTCTTTACTTTCCGCTGCACTACTCTTAGACTTGCATGTGTGTAGAATTACTAAAACTTGCCTACAACTAAAATTGGGAAAAAGATAAGCTTTTATTCAGTCAGGTAATCTAATCACCCCCCCTCTAGACATACTTTCGATCCTACAACAGGGGGCAATATCAGCTGCTCACATGCTACGAATTAACTAGGAGCAGATCCAACGACCATATGTGGAGCTTCACAAATTTGCAAAAAAGAGCTCCAGGACTCCCGTAATTATGCTAAGATCTAGGGTTCCTGAGATTTATGGTGATTCATATTTTGTTTCAATCTGCTTTTACCTTATGACTTGTTTTGGCCTCGCGCTTACCTTTTAGTTTTTGATGAAAAACAAAGACACATCAACTTGTGTTTTGATCCGTATGCAGTAATTCTTGAGAGATAAGTAGACAAGGTCTTAGGAGTTACTCCCTCCGTCTCAATTTGCAAATTTGAGCCGCTCACAAATTGGATGTAATAAAATCTTATATTATAAGACGGATGGGGTAATTTTGATTTGACCCAGACCTTTGTGTAATCCCATATAAAGATAGGATGACTAGTGGGGGTCAAATCAAATTAAAATCTGGCACTATATAAGGATGCTGACACATGAGCCTTAAGTAGCACCACTTTTTTTTATATATATAAACAAGTAGCACCACTTGGTTGCTAGCAGAGGCCAAGAAGAGCAGAGAGTTCGTTTTCGGAAGCTGACCTGGCCGGGGGGGAAAGGCCCACCTTTTGAAGATTTCCGCCAACCCGATCCATCGGCGATGAAAACGCGAGTGTCACTTTACTTGAGGTCACAACAGGGGGAGGAAGATTCTCCCGGTGCGCAAATTTTATGGGCCGGATCCGTCTCCAAATTTTCCTTATCCAGTCAGTAACATGTACTCCCTCCGTTCTGAATTACTTGTCTTAGATTTGTCTAGATACAGAGGTATCTAGCACTAAAATGAGTCTAGATACATCCGTATCTAGACAAATCCAAGACAAGTAATTCGGAACGGAGGGAGTACTTGATACAGTCGTATTTAGACAATTTTAAGACAAAAATTTTGAAATGGAGGGAGTACTAGTGCAACATGCTTGTGTGTGGAGGTGAGAAATGCCCGTGCACGATCGACGCGTACCCTTTGCGTTGCGGCATCTGTACATAGATAGACTGTACAAGTGCGAAGAAATGAAAGAAGGGCGCATCCTGCCTAGCTCCATCTGACGGCGCAGTGCAGACATCTTCATGGGGAGCAGCTGCAAAACACGGGGGAGTTTTGGACCTCTTTTTGGATGCTCTATCTAAAGGTGCGATCGATCGAGGCCAGTCCGCTTTCGGACGGCAAGATTCTCCCAGTTTGGTGGCGGGCCCAAACTGTGGGGTGAAGAGATAAGATCGTCGTAAGTCTGCTGGTGCTGGAAAGCATGTGCATGGATGGAGCGCTTATACCTTTCTGCTTGTGACGGAAAGGCTGCCTTTCCGTCTCCTATTTGATTGATTTGCCCCCTTCATGCCTTCGCATCATTTTTGTTTGCTTTTCCCGTCATAGTCTCCTCTGATGCATGCTAAATGGGGAATGCCATGGTCCCCTGTGTTTTGTTTATAGCGAAGCCTTCAGAACAAACTAATGGTACTCGTATTTGGTAAGTATTGTAGTATTCTCTATTTTATACTCCCTCCGTTCCTAAATACTTGTCTTTCTAGGCATTTCAACAAATGACTACATACGGAGCAAAATGAGTGAATCTACACTCTAAAATATGTCTACATACATCCGTATGTCGTAGTCATTTGAAATGTCTAGAAAGACAAGTATTTAGAAACGGAGGGAGTAGTTTGAAAGCAACGCAATGGGCCATAAGAATACAGAGTAGGGTGTGGCTAGGTCTCAATCGACTGAGACTTAACCAAGTCTCAATCAAGTGGTATACTAGTATGTAAGAAGAAAAAAGAACTGAAAATAATTTTTTTATACGAATCTTCATGCAAAATCAAAGAAAGATAGCACCAACTGAGACATAACGAAGTCCCAGTTGAGACTTAGCAAAGTTGTACGAGGTATTATGAATCAAAATCCTCTCAGACTACACTAGTACACAGTCCACACCAAAAAATCAATCAGCAAATGTGTACCCTGGGGATGGAACAGATCCTAGCGCTGCCACGCAGCTTCTCCGCGAGCTTCGGGTGGCATCCATTCAGCTCGATGGATTTCAACGACGGCGGCATGGCGTACTCCGGGAATGTACGGACCTCGCCGCAGTCCGATATCCGCAGTTTCTCCAGGGACTGGAGGTTCAGGAAGAACACCCCCAGCAGCCTGTCCGTCACCACGCGTCGGCTCAGCGAGAGGCTCCGCACTGAAGAGAGGAGCTTGACGTTCACGTCCGTCTCCCCTGCGTACTTGCTGATGCTCAAGGCTCTGACCGCCAGCGCGTGATCTTGGTGCAGCAAGTCCTGCTGCAGCAGCTGGACGGCCTCCCCATGTACATCCAGCGTGAAGGAGCTGGATTTGGGGGAGAAGGCCATGTCTAGGTAGTAGGAGCTATTGTCCTTCTCTATTCTCATGTTCTTCACGGTGGCCGGCACCCGGGGCAGCTCGGCCAGTCTGGGGCAGTTGAGTATGAGTATCTCCTGGAGGCGAGGAAATTTTTCCTCAGTCGAATCGGCGCTCCACTCGATCAAATTGGGCATGTCATCGAGCACCAGTTTCTCCAGCGAGCGGAGCACGCCGGCGCCGTAGAGTTTGTGGTCGATCCGAGCAATGGCGTACATCTCTTTGAGGTGCAGCATTCTGAGATCAGGAAGCTGGCTCAGGCATGGCAGCGCCTGCCAGTTCCTGCAGTTTATGAGAATCAGGTGGCTCAGGCTCGTCAGCAGGTTGCTCCCCAGCCAGCCAGGCGACGATGTGCCCTGGTACCTCTGGATGCGCAGCTCCTGGAGCCTACCATTTGGCTGGAGCCCCTCCAGGACTTGCTCCTGTGAGTCTGTGGAGGTGGAGCAAGTTCGTCCCCCCAGCTTGGGGAGCTCCCATTCCAGCTTCAGGGTCTTAAGAGATTCTTTCTTCCCAAGCTGAGCCTTCTGAGCTTCTTCTTTGCCGGCGACGGCCTGAAGACCCTTCACGGTGAGCGTGCCGTGGAGGGAGTCCATGCCTGCAAGCTCTTCCATGCCATGGCCCTTTCCCCTGTCGGCACAGAACTCGACGGACCCCTGGAATCTCTCCAGCCTCCCGATACGACGTATCATCGCAACGTACTTACTTCATGTCCATGTCGAGGTGCCGCAGGTTCACCAAGTTACTCATGCCATCGCCCGGGAACCCATGGTCTTCATCAAGCTTGCAGTCTTTGCCGAGAGACAGTGTCTGTAGGTGCAGCAGCTTGGTAACCGCGGCGGGAAGGCTCTTGGCGGAGTCAGGCAGGCCTAGGTACCGCAGGTGCTTCAACTTGCCGACGCCTTTCGGCAACTCGGTGATGCGTGTGCCGGCAAAGTCTAGCACTGTGACGGCCTTGAGCTGCTTCAGTACATGGTTGTCAATGGCGGAAACAGCAGTACTCGAGCTTGATCGGCCATCATCGAAGACTAGCAATGTCCTCAGCTTCTTCAGCACGGGGTCATCCTTGAGCTGAGCCAGGGCCAGGCAACCTCCGCCGGTCAGCGATAGGTGTCGAACACTTGCCGGGATGTTACCCCTTCTTCTAATAAGATCATCGTTGCTTAATCTGAAGAACTCGGTCGCGCAGACTGACATGAGCATCGAATGGACCTGGTCATGGATGACAAAGCATGTCGCCCTGCCATCCCTGGAGATGGTTTTGAGCATGGACCTTTTCTGCAGCTCTCCGACGTATTCTCTCCCGACACCCTCCATGCTCTGCCCGTGGTCACCGCATATGATGCCATGTGCTATCCACATCTTGACCAACGTTTCAGGTTCGAACTCCCATTTGTCAGGGAACATGCTGCAGAACCCCAGGCAAGACCGCAGGTGCTGAGGCAGATTCCTGTAGGTGGACGCGCCGGCGGCGCAGGCAAGAGGAGCTTCGCTGGCGAGGCCGGCGCCGCAGTACCAGGATCCTGCCTTCTCCAAGAGTTTCTTCCAGTCTTTCTTCCGGTGTCTGTTCTTCATCATGTCGACGACAGTTTTGGCCGCCGACGGCGAGCCCCTCAGCTGCTCCGCGACGCTCCTGATCACATCGTCGAGAGGCGGAGTTTTTTTTTGGGCGTCACCGAACGCGATTTTCTTGAGCACCAGGACGAGGTCGTCGGCGCCGAGCCCATTCAGCGTGATCTTGGTGCCGGCACCGAGCACCTTGGCGCAGATGGTAGCTCGGCACGTCACCAGGATCCTGCTCCCGTTGCCTCCGTCCCTGAACGGGGCTAGCACGTCCTCCCAAGTTGTCCTCATCTTCTCCGTCTGGCCATGGCCCGACTCGTCGTTGGACACGTCGTCGAGCACTAGAAGGTACTCCCTCCGTTCTGAATTACTTGTCTTGGATTTGTCTAGTTACAGAGGTATCTAGCACTAAAATGAGTCTAGATACATCCGTATCTAGACAAATCCAAGACAAGTAATTCGGAACGGAGGGAGTACCTCCTAGAGGCGACCAGCCCTTGGACCGCCTGCTGGAGCATGCCGAAGCTCATCTCCGTGGCGGGGCACTTCTCGTCGACGCCGCTTGATCCGGGGATGGACCTCCAGATCTCAGTCAACAGGTCGGTCTGGGTGAACATGTATGGAACGCTCGCCCACACCATCAGATCGAAGTGCTTGTTGTTGATGCTCTTGTCATGCCATGCCCGCCGAGCGATCGTGGTCTTCCCGGTGCCGCTGTGGCCGATGACCGCCACGACATTCTTGTTGCTGCTGCTACTGCTGGGCTCGTCGCTGACGTTGAGTAAAGCCCAGACGAGCCGGCCATACTCCCGCTTGTACCCCACGAATAGTTCTCGGCCCGGCGCCGCCGGTAGCAGCGGGCCAGTCGCCCGTCGTGACACGGAGCGCGAGTATCCTCGGCCCCCGCTGCTGCCGGCGTGGATCTTGAGGTGGGCGAGATCCCGCAAGCTCTGCTGGATTAGCGGTAGCTCGTCCAGGAGTTCCTTGAGCCGATTGAACGCCTTGTCCCTGCCGATCAGCCGTCGGCCGGCTCTCGCCACGGAGTGAGCAACCTGAGCGACCTTGTTGTCGCGCAAGTTGGACTTGACGATGTCGTCGTAGGTGAAGTCGTCCAGGACGGACCGCACATCGTGGATGGCGTCCACGAGCCGGCCCACCCAGTTGTCCGTCCCGCCGCCGGCGGAGACGTCGTCGTCGGCGCGCCGCAGTTGACCCTGCTGCTGCACGGTCTCGACGGTCGTGGTCATCTCCTCCAGGACATCTACAAGCTGACGGAGGTGCTTGGCCAAATGTTTGAAGCTCGAGTACTTGCTGCTCAGCAAGGATCTCACCTCGCCGATGAGCTCCTTGATGATCGGAGAGAATACCCACCCACCAACTACCAGCAGCGTGCCGGCCGGCATGGCTAAGCGGTACAGCACTCTGCTGATGGCTTGACGACAAAGCCGGGGCCGGCTGAAGGATCGATGGAACCTGGCTTGCTAGGCTAATTAGTACAGCTAACTCCTAATAACTTATTTAATCAATCAACACTCACACGGAGCTAGCAGAGAATGGATCTTGGGCGGTTACGCGTGCGTACCGCGGGATCATGCCCGTCCGTTGGTTTCGAAGTCGCCGCTCGGTCAGCCTGCAAGTGGGCCGGCTGTCCGTATATGCCCGCGTCACCATGCGTCTGTGAAAACATTGGAAGCTCAATTAGAGACAGGGAAGAAATTTTCGAAAAAAAGACCCAAATGATAAGTGCCACACGTGTAGCAGGAACAACTCCGACCCTGATGTTTTTTTTAAAACTAAAGTTAGGGCTTTGCTACACCTACGAAGGATTAGATTATTACGTTCTCTACGTAATTGCTGATATGACAGCTTTTAATTTGTCATTTGTTGGCCGCACGGGTCCACCCTAGAATCAGGGGGAGGGCGGTTTGATTGGTGTCATTCTTCGCTAAAGTTGTCATTCACAAAGAGAAAATAACGCCCCCCCCCCCTCCCTTCCCCCAAAATTGAAACTTGCCATCTGAAAGAAAGTTTTCATGCTTGACAATTGAAGGTATCATCCTCGTGTCATTAAATTTGCCATAAAAGATGTCCGGATTTACCATGTGTTAGTGCCACACATGTGACACTTATCAAGGTGAAAAAACAGTGAAAAAATACTATTCAAAAAGCAGTCAAATTTCTGGGAAAAATATCTGAAGATAAAAAAACCAGTGATCTCAAAAGGTGTGGCTCAATTATAGATGCTACATGCTGGGGAATCGTTTTGTCTTGTAGTTAGTTGTTCTCTAGGCGGCGCCTCTGGGCGACACGGGGGGCGGCCTCTTCTCCATCGTTCTTTCTCACCAATAAGCTTGTTCCTCTCGCCCCCATCACCGCTTGATAAAGTCGATGCGATGGCATGACTTCGTTTTTCGTTCAACTTCGGTTTTCTTGCAATACTATGGGTTAGCAGTGCGGCTCTCTGCTTGTAGCGACTGCGAGGTAATGCGTGGCGCCACCAATAGTGTGGATGGCGCAATAGTTTGTGATCTTGCCAGGGCCTCCCACCCGATCTTATGGTTGTCGCCTTGTGCAGTATTTCCTTTAACGGCCGGTACCTTACGAGCATCCATATCATAGTGGAGAAAGGCAATGCTTGTGTCAAGGAATCCGCATAGCCAACACCATGTCGAGACACGACATTGACTTATATTGATGAGCGCAGTTGCCGGATGACCATTTGTAGGCTCTTAGCGGCACCAATGAACTTGCGGTGTGGCAACCCCCTCACACCGAGTGACCCATATGGTTTGCAGCACGGATTCGATGGGGAGGTCCTCATTAATGGTGGCATCTCGCGCGCGCGGGGCGGGGGAGGGGGGGTGTCATCGACCGTGTATCGACGTTCACGTTAGGATTGTGCGTGTGAGTGATTGTCTTCTGGACGTACGTGTATGCCTTGGATAGGATGAATATCTAAACCGTATGACCATAGCAGATGTGTGCCCACCCCGAGCTTGACAAGTGGGGGCAATGCAAGATGACTTCAAGTTGGCGGTGCTCTTTGAGTACCAGATTTCAGAAATTTGTAGGTTACACCTCTTCATTGGTTGTAACTGGGTGAAATTGCTTCATTTCCTCTTTGATGGCATTGCAGTTGTTGCAATCCAAGTGATGCCAACTACTACATTGAAGGTCGTCGCTGCTTGCCGTTGATTATTTCAACATGGCATTTATGCTCAGTGACCTCTCACCTGAATAATGATACTGTGTTGTTGGAAAGGTGTGGTCAGATCGATATAATTGGAATCTTTTCACACACAAAAAGATATAATTGGAATCAACTTGGTATTTATATGCACCTGTCCATTATTATTATATTCATTTCTCGGATCCCCATGTATTTCCCTGTTGTTTCTTCGCAGGTTAACCCTCGGTGGGAAAACAGTGCCGCAAATGTCCTATGCGAGCTGGGTCCCGGTTATTTTGTCTCGACCCGAGGGCCACGGGCCGAACAGTAGAGCGGAGGGAGGAGATGAATGAAGTTGTGGCCCACGAAACGAAAGCTATACGCGGTGCGCACGCGTACGCGCACCACACAGCCACAGGACAGAAGATATCTCCCTCGGTCTCTCCAGGCGTTAATGATTGAAGGAGGTGAGCAGCTAATTACTCTACCAATAATCACCATTCACCGGAGAGGAGAAAAGAAGAGGAATCTTTCGTGCATTGCCATCCACCGTACGTGCGTGCGATGGATCCATCAGGTGGTAAAACGACCGATGGCGAAAGCGCGGAGCAGGTAGTGGCTGATGGGTGCGTTGAACCGAAAATCCTAGACTTACGGGATGGTTTCACGGTCCCACACTCATTAATCAACTCTCCCGTGAAATTCACGAGATGGGCCTTTCTTTCCCTCCTGTTTGCAATGGCAAGTTGACAACTCAGCCTGTAAGCTTGCTTCCCTATAAATCTGTCCGCAGCTCTATCAAAACTCGCGTTGAACACCACAAGTGGTACATGATTTTGTTTAATCACAGTCACAGAGGCACCACCTCATAAGGTTTGCGCACTGCTTTTGTTGGAATAAAAGGGGCTTTACGCGTGGCTAAGGCAACGAGTGATGATGCCAGTCAAAAAAGTGGAAGGAGAAGAACGAAAAAATGAAACCTATTAACAGTCGCACAAAGGGCGAGCCCTCGCGATAGCCACATCGATAGGAGCAGCAGTGCTTTATTTCTATCTTTTTTTTGACGAGAGGAGCAGTGCTTTGTGGAGAAACTTATTAAAAGAGAGGGGAAAAAAGAACTCGTTTGCATCTCCCACGCTATTTCCCCTCTCCCTCGTATCTTTCCCCCTCGCGTGGCGTCTAAGGTTGCGGCCGTCGGAGGCGCCGCTGGCTCGCCGACAGGAAGAGGGCATCTCCAACTCTCCTCCCCTCCTCATCTTGTCACGCGCAGGCATCTTATCCCCCCCCCCCACCCCATCGTCGCCGCCACTCCTTTGTTGCTACTCCGTCCATGGAGTTAGGAGGAGGCCTTAGGGACACTAGTGCAGAACCGGGCTTTAGCACCGGTTCGTAAGGGCCTTTAGTGCCGGTTCGGTAACCGACACTAAAGGGTGGAGACTAAAGGCCCCCCCTTTAGTACCGGTTCTGCATGAACCGCCACTAAAGGGCCACCACGTGGCACGAGCCAGGGCCGTGGGCGGGAAGACCTTTAGTACCGGTTGGTAACACAAACTGGTACTAAAGGTTGGGGGTATTTTGGTTTTATTTTTTTCCTTTAATTTTGTTTTTTCCATTTAATTTAGAGATTGTTTTTACATTATAATGAGTTGTTAAATCACTAGGTGAAAATACCGCGGATTAGTTTGAAGTGCCGGATCATATAATAACTCATCATCATCATCACCATCATCATATTAATGTAAAAACTCTTGCATCATATCATCACCAACAACATTAATTAGCTAGCTAATAATCATCATAGTCGTCATTACCACTATTTAATCATCATAGTCATTACCGCTATCCAATCACCACAAACACCAGCTTAAAGAAGAAACTTGTACCAGAAGCAAAGATATCATCGAGTTCAACATGGTCATGAGATTATAAGCGTTCATAAGACCACAAAATTAAATCACTTTGAGATTAAGTTCAGGACGAAGAACACGGACATGAGAGGACAAGTACTAAGAGCATGCATGAACTAGCTAATCACTCCTGTTGCTCTCTCTCAGGTAAAATAGTATAGAACATGTGTAGAAATCCTGATTCATCATATTGGAGCATGCAGATGAACCTGTCTCCTAATTATGGGTTGCGCTTCTGTTTGCTGCCCCCTAGTACTTCTCTGCGATCATTCACAATTTTGCTCCAGTCTTTCACTGTTAAGCATTCATCGGTTTTAGAAATCCTGAATGCACTCATGTGCGCTGTAGGATGTCTTGGCCGTAAGCTAACCATTGACATGTGACCTTTAGTCTCGATCCATTGAGGCACAACTATCATCGAGAGTCCCTGTTGAAGAACGTCGTATAGTAACATACTTAGCAATGAAGTTTAGCTTAAAAAATAATGTATGCAAAAGATGCATTGAGGACAAATAGTAAAAATCTTACCATCATGCCTAAATAGATGTGACTGTAGTTCAATACGAACACTATTGGTCGCACGTTTTGAGTACTAAGATTTTCAAATTCAGGAAAATAATTTCTCTTGACAGCATCAAGATCCTCAAGCCATGAAACATAATGACTTATCTCCTCGCGGTTTAGTTCAGCTCCGGGACAGTGGACGGTGCTGTCTATCAAGCGCCGGACATGTTTGCTTAAATGGAAATAAGCTGTCAATAGAAATTAGTTGTCAACTATTTTTGAATAAACAATACCAAAGACATAAATATGGTTGAGAAACTCACGTAATGGTAGAACTGGAGGCGTCTGCACATCGACCCAAATATCTCTATTACCTTCAATATCATCTTCCGGACGAATATCAAAGGTGATAACCATATCAAGCTCAAATGCATAAGCCTTGCATAGTGCTTGCAAATTTTTGCATTCAAAATAGGTGTAGGTGCCTGCGTTGTATAATTTAACGTCAAAGGTATAATGATACGTCTCCAATGTATCTATAATTTTTGATTGCTCCATGCTATATTATCTACTGTTTTAGGCAATATAGGGCTTTATTATCCACTTTTATATTATTTTTGGGACTAACCTATTAACCGGAGGCACAGCCCAGATTTGCTGTTTTATGCCTATTTCAGTGTTTTGAAGAAAAGGAATATCAAACAGAGTCGAAACGGAACGAAATCAACTGGAGAAGTTATTTTTGGAAGGAAACCTACCAGATGGACTTGGACCCCACGTCAGGAGCAAAGGGAGGTGCTCACGAGGGTGGGGGGCGCGCCCC